ACATCTCTTTCATCTCCTCTGGTTTGTGACAGTTTCTCAATCTTTCCTTGTTTCTCATGACCTTGAAAATGTAATTAGTATAATTTGTCAGATATTTTGTAGAATAACCTTCAATTTGGGTATCTCTGATTTTTTTGAAAAATTAAACTGGGATTACAAGTTTTAGAGAACTCCAGAACTGCCCTTCTCACCCTATACCTATACAGAGAGATATGTGCTATCAACATGCATTATCACTAATGATATGAATTTTGATTACTTGATTAAAGTGGTATCTGCCAGGTTTCTGTACTGTAAAGAGAGTATTTATCCCTTTCTAGAATACACGTTTACACATACAACAGATTTATTATATTTTGCTTTAGATGAGATTGGAATCTTGCCAAAGACATCAGTGCATCAGAGCAGGCTGTACAAGACACCAGAGAACCTTGAAAGATACTTCTCAGAGCACTCTCTTGGTTCCTCCTGCAGCCCTGTGAGTCAGATCTTATTACATTGATGAGTAATTAGTCCAATTAGATAAGTCAGTCTTGAATTTGATTTTCAAGTGAGGAGCAACAGATATTTAGTACGAACATAAAACAAAGCCATTAGTCCATTACAAAACAATAAAGTACACCTAACCCCAATCCTGATAATTAGTGGATATAAATAAATATTCCAAAACTCATAGTATTTGCAGATATATATTCTAAAACTCATAATATTTGCAGATGTATAAACATAATGTATTGACTTGAGAAATACCATGTGGGAATTAAATAGAAAGACTATCTAATATTCCTTACCAAAGTCCTAATTATCAATAATTGAGAACTCCAATTCAGCATAAATACATAGAAACTATCCTAATACATATAAATCCCAATTCAATATTTGCTTAGGCTATTAAAAGAATTAAAAAAAAACCTTAATATGCAATAATCCTATAGTCTTTATGTAGTATTTAACTTGTAGTTATTGTGTGTGTGTGCACACGCGCGTATAAAATTTAGGCATTTGCTCTCATTCATATAGTATTTATTTAGCATCTTGCATCATGTGATTAAAAAACTGCTTAAAAAATAACAGTATAAAGGGGCTAAATGTATTGAAGTTTTAGCAAATAAAACTAGTATGAATTTAAACCTACATAACATACAGTTTGAAACTAATGGCAATTTTTCTGCCCAAATTTTGTCAAATGTAAATTCTGTGTTTAAAACACCAGAAACTGAAGTAACTGATTCTATTGCCATATAATACTAGGAAATATCCAAAACTGTATTTTGGGAGACCTATAATTCTTAGGGCCTTATAACCTAGATTTATTTCTGCTTCATCCTAAACAACATACATCTTGCATTTTCAGAAACTTGGAGCAATTGCTTTCAATATTTTGCACTGAATTCCAGGGTTTATATCCCAAGTGTGTATCACAGCATCAGAAAATATACCTGTGCTTTGAAGATTCGGTCATATCAGATGGCAGCCTAATAATATATTATTCATGACTCAGTTACAGATAAACAATATGGTAAACACAAAAGCAAAGCATTAAAAATTCACATGTATCAGAGAAAGCTTTTGCCAAAGAATAAAAGTTGAGGGTGAGAAGGTTTAAAATAAATAAATAAATAACTTAAGGAAATCTTTTTTCTTTTTTAATTAATCTTATGTTCTAGATAGTAAACTCTTTTAAGATAAGGATGGACCCTTATTCAAATTCTAAAAAGTTCTAATATATTATACAGTATAGTTCCTTCACATATGAAATACTACTTTGCGTTCAATTTACTTACATTATAATTAACATTTTATAGTTCATGCTTATAAGCATGATCTTACTATAAAATATAGACACTGATTACAAATTTATATTTATAATTTAATAAGTGGAAAAATAAAAATGTATGATAATTTGAAAGGATTTATTAGGTGGAGAGGTAGAAAGGATTTTTTGATGCAGTTTACGTGTATCTCAGGGAGAAATTTTTAAAAGCCCTCGTGATGATCTCACTTGGGGGTAGGAGGATGTGTGGAGGGGAATCTTCTATTACTTTCCTTTCTAATCTTTCTAATCTTGCTTTGCTCTTGCTGTCACATTAAATGAAATACAATGTTGTACTTCCAGATTAAACGTAAAATCAGGTGGAAGCTCACAGATACCCCATTTCGTCAGATTTAATATAACCACCTTTTTCAGTGTGAATGAGAGCTACCTTAGAAAGTTTTCATTGTTTGTAACGTAGCCTTCAGTTTATCTACCTGTGCTTTTTAAAACATCAAACTAATCACACCGTTCTCCGTCTTAAAACTTCAAACTATCTGCGGTTGGTCACCGACATGCCACCCATCCTCCCTGGGTGCCACACTGCTTCTCCTCGCACACTCTTCTCCCCGTCGCCATCTAACTCCTATTTGTTTATTATGTCGCAGCCTTCTCTAAAGAGACTTTCCCCTAATTGTGTTATGTTCTCCTCTCCTGTGCATTCCCATCGTGTGTAAGATGGCCCCAACACTCCCAGAGCACCTCTTAAATTCAAAGTGCTGCTGTTCAATCGTGAACAAGACAGACCTGATCCCAGCTTCATGGCTATACAGGCAGGCTGGGAAGAAGGGCTTCAAGCAAACAATCAGAAATAATAACAAAATTATTAGAAGTGTTCAGAGTGCCTTAAAGGAGAAATAAAGAGAGTACAGAAATGTAGAGTCTAACCTAGAGGGATGGTGAAGGAAAGTCCTCCCTTAAGATGTCAGCTACACTCTGCCATCGTGGTCTAGGCAAAGACAAGGAAATATGCAAAAAATATTCAAAAAGTTGTAGGCAGAGGAGGCAACATGTACAAAAACACCTTAGGCAATGGAGTAGAGGGAATATGGCATATTTTAGGAACAAAGAGAAACAGTGATGCAAGATGAAGTTGGAGAATGCACCGGGCCCAAATCATGCCAGGGGCCTGCAGCCACCTTGGAGGTGCACTACTCTGCTTCCCCCAGAAAGAACTCGCTGTTGAGCTGTGAGAGGGCAGTTGGCTGTCGTGGTCCAGTGGCAACTCCTTCAGGATGCAGGACAGCATGCCACCAAGGACACACTCTTCTCTGGCAGCCTCCAGTCCATGACTAAGTTGGGTGCAAGGAGGAGGTCTGGCCCTTTCTGCCCAATGCAGGAGTCCTCTGACAGGTCCTCTTGCTTCAGGCCTCCTCACTGGACTGGCCAAGACTTTGTCAGATTTGTCTCGCAGATTATATACACCCAATTACCGTCTTCCCCCAGTTTGAAGCTCTCTCTGGATTTTGGTCTTGTTGTATTTGCTCTGAGAGTCAATGACTGAATACTGTATTATAGATACTATCAATTAGACACAACAAATGAGACTCACATAATTGCATTCCCAGCTTTCAATAATTTCACTGGAGGTGCTGGGAGAATTGAAACACAGTTGTGAAGATTTATAATATTTTTTCGAAGAAACTCAAAATCAGCTATGTCTGGATGAAGTAGATAACTCTCAATGGGCTGTGTTCTGTTTTCATTAAACAAATATTTAATTATAGCAATTTATTGCTAGAAATAGCATAATACATTTGGCATAATTCAAGCTACAACAGAGATAAGAAATGTTCGCTCAATTACTTTTGTTGGGTTTGCGCAATGAGCTACTTCCCAATTATGATAGTTAACAAGGCTTTTCTTCAAAGGGAGAAAAGGATCTACTACCTCAACTTAGTAAATATATGCTATAATCAATCTCTGATAAACTTTTGTGAGGGAGTAAGTTTTTGTCAGGGTTCCCTCTCCAACACCTATCTTGTCCTCTCACATGGGTATTAGCCATGTAGATTGACACGTGAGACGAGCGGATTGACCCCACTCCCCGCTCCAGTCCAAGACAATCAGGATACTCTCATCCTCCTTCACCAAAACCAAGAGTGACCTAATGGAGAGATCTTAGGACTTAAGTTTGATGATGGTGGGAAGTGACGTCCCTCCCCTTTACTCCCCCCAGATGTGAAAGGATAAAAAGTTGCTACAGGTGGCCATTGGAGACAATCAGGGAAACCAGGCTGAAGACAAAGCCTACACAGCAGGGTCAAGACAACCAAAACATAGACGTGAGACCTGGCTGAGCTGTGTCTGAAGACTGCCCTATCCCACTTGATGATTGAGGCCAGGTTGAAATGTATCTCCTATTATTTGTACTATCAAAAGCATTCTAATATACAAGGGTGTTTTCTTAGTTTAAAATTACATATTTGATCCTGCATCTCAGCTTACCTTCTTGCCTCTGCCAAAAAAATAATGGTCAACTGTCATTCTGCACTTCATGTTTAATTTTGTTGATCTTCACTAAAAACAGGCTTAAAAATTTTTGCATACCGTTTCAACAAGTATCAAAAAATATTGTAAAATATAATAAAATATAAACTTGTGCATTAGCTAATTAATGTGATTAAACACTTGAATGCTAGGGGAAAATCATTACCGAATACCTCAAAGAGTCCACAAGTGCAAAGCAGCAGACTCTTCTCTGATTTAAAAATTTAAAAAGTCGCTAATATTTATTTGTTTATATAAGAGTTTGCAATGATGACCCATGGGCCAAATCTAAGCCATATTTCTTTGTCTGTTTGTTTTGCCCAGACAATATTTAAACACACATGTGAAAAAACACATAGCTCTGCACGACAACAATCAACTAGAGATGAAAAGTTGCTACTCACTTTAGGCCAAAAATGAACTGCCAGTTTTGATTACATTATCCAAGGTCCACTTTTCCCCCTTTTGTGACCTTACCACTGTAAGGCATTTGAATCTGTGACCTGTGGTTTAAGTGCACACATTAATATCTTGGCAGCTAAGTACAGATTTATTCGATATACTGAAAAAACCGGACAGGGAATCCAAAAAATTGGCACAAAAGTAAATAATGCTTTTAGATGAGTAAAAACTTTAAACAGGATCTTTCACATCCTGGGTAGTAAGATTCCAACCACCAAATGGGTACATATCTTACCTGTAGGTCTTTTTCTTCTATCTTTTTTTGGAGCAGTTCAAGGCACTTGGTAAAGTCAGTACGGGCTTGATCAGGAGTTGAAATAAGCTCACATCCCTATGTGTTAAAGTAAGAGAAAAGGTAAAAATAAGAACGATGTCAGCCTTATGAATGAGATCAAGAGCTATGAAAGTAAAGATAAGGTATCAGTAGACATATGCTATTATGCCTGTATTATACCCGACCATTAGCATCATTATCATTATTATCTTTTTTATTTCACATAACAGGACATCTCAGGAATGGTGTTAGAATATTACAATAACCGTCTGATTATGACAATCATTTTAACCAAGAAAAGTACAGATTATACTACATTAATGGTCTTTTTAAAAATCACTGCTGTGATGACATTCAAGATTAACATAAGGACTCTGGCTACAAGTTTTATAAAATATATTCACAGTGAAATTACCTGAAATTAAAATTAAACTATTTCTAAAATACTTTCAATTCTTCAATCAGACCTCATAAGTTTACTTACATGAATGGAAAAACTAATGTTAATATTGAACTAATGATAAAACTACATTTTAAGTTAGCTGTCCTATAAAATTCTTGTACAGCACTTTTTCTTCCCCATGCAAAAAGCAGCATGAAGAGCTATGCCAGAGTAAATAAGTCTCTCGGATTATCTTTTGGACATAATGAAGTGAATTCATAAGTTCTTTGTCTCTTGTACAACACACACCTTACCCAGTGAAAAACACTGATACATATTTATAAATATAAAGCCACAAAAGTGCCAGCTAGTTGGCACTAGTGAACTTAGATGGCTGAAGAAACGATATTTTTCAAATGACACCTCCTCCGATGTCTTACAGAGCCAAAGGTATGTAAAACCAGAGTGTAATGCGACTTCAGACTTCTTAATTCAGGAATAAAACAATTCATGGTCTCTGACAAACAGCTGAGTAAGGGAAAGTTAAATATAATCTAGTATATAAAGTTGCCATTCAAAGAGTTTTCAAGGATACAAAACACCCATTCTGCCTCTTAAATTATTCCAAGAACCATTCTCAGTAGATTTAAAGGTTCTTCTTTAACTTCAAGGTCTCTTTAAATGTGTCAAGCTCAACCTATGCTTCATTCATTTATGACTGTCCTACAATATAGTGACCAATGAAGAAATTAATTTCTCATCATTCAGAAATATATTATGCCCTAAAAGATGTATATGTCATTTTTACAAGATCGTCAACATATACTTTCCTCACCCAAAAAGAACACTGAAATTTACTATAATCACCAAGCAAGGACATAAAGAAATCGACTCATCTCAGGTTAACACTCCTAACAAGGAAGATAGAAGAATACACTAGAGCATACAGGAGGACTATCAGGGCTGAGGAGATTACACTGTAACCAAACCAAAAATCACTATACTGAAAGTTCCCTGAGGACAGGAATTGTGTTTCATTCATTACTGTTTCCAGTGCCTTGCACCAGTCTGCTATATAGTAAGTGTTCAATAAATGTTTAAATAATATTCTTGAGGGATAAAAATGTATGCTGGCAAACGGGGAGGAGAGTGTGGCATTTTACTGTTAAATATAGCATATATGACCACGGGACATTACCTTCCTCTTTTAAGTGCTGACGACAGAAATAATCACTCCAGCAAAAGAAAACAAAATTTAAAATGCAAATAGAAATAGCAATACAAGGGACGGTTAAGAGGTCATTGTCCACCTTCACAGTTTCTTCACAGAATCAACACAGATCCACAAGAAAAATTATGCTAAAGAGAACTCAAGAAATTATCTATCTAGCCCCATTCTAATATTTTGGAGATTAAGAAAACAAAAATAAGAGATTTAAATTGACTTGCTAACAACTGGACAGCTAGGTAGTAATTAGCACTGTCATATCTAGAAATTCTGTCTTTACTACCATGAAATGGGAACAAATTCCTAGATATCTGACAGAAAAAGTCATGTAACATCTCTAGAGTTGATTCTACAAGACTGATATTATGAAAAAAGCTACTTGAAATATATGAGCAAGGCTTGAATAATATCTGACTTTACCTCATCAATTTAAGATGGACACACAGAAAAGGTTAAGTCAGGACATGGAGACAGATTACCAGCACTGAAAAATTCAAACTGTATCTAAACTAAGAACTTCTAGAAACTCTCATTGAGTTGTTTATCAGCCATCCACAGCTTCTGGGAATTTTCATGAATTTAAAGGATTCTAATCTCATCACAGATTGAGAATGAATTCACTAGAAGTGGACACAGCTCCGCTACCCCTCATAGGGCAGTTTTTAACACCTAGAAAGGAGACCTGTAAAACAAAATATTAGCCAAAGTGCAATAACTGGCCTTTGGCCGACTAAAGATATTTTCAGTGTTTTCTGGGTCTTATGATAATACATTAAGATCTAAAAGAGGAAAAATATAAAATTAAAGATGAGAACTATCAAGATCCTGTAGGATAGGATAGTTGGATAGGATACCTTCCAAAGCATAAACTACAAAACTCTTTAAAATAGTCATAAGATAACAATGTTTGAATGGAAACTTGTTTCAACAACTATTATCATCTTTGATTTTTCTCAGTTGTCTGAAATATATTTTTTTAGGATACAAATTATTATTTTATGAGCCAGCAGGTGGCTCCAATCTCATACTATGCATTTTTCTCATGTAGGTTTTCTCATTATACAAATGGAAATTTAAATAACTCAACTCTGATAATAAGTTTCCTTTATGAATACGCTACTTCTCTCAAGATGGATTATCATCTTTTAATATTACATTTTGTTAATTTTGTTTTATACTAGAATTTGAAAGGAAAAGACTGGGATTGGCGTCACAGATTTCAGTATGTGTTAATATCAAGGCTATTCCGATTTTGTTCTAACCTAAAAAGAATCTTTTGAAGATGAGGAACCACAATGCCCACTCTCTCCTCTCCAAACCATACCCACATAAAGGGAAAAGCAACGAGAACTGAGTAAGTTAGAACAACTAGTTTAAAAATTCTGTTCCAGTGTCGAACTGACCTCAGTCTTCCTTATCAAGACTCTCTCATCCCATAAGTCAAAACCAGGAGAAGACATATATAAATTTAATTATAAATCAATTACCAGAGGACCAATCAACTACGTTTTAGGGGTTTATTAGGTGTCTACTGTTTTATTAAATAATACTGTGCACCGAAGAAGTAGGAATCTACCACATACTAATAATAGAGCCCAATGGAAAATAAAAACATGAATATTATAATTAGTAAATATATAAAATATAAATATATTTGTATGTTTGTGTGTGAGAGGAAAAGACAGATAACGGGAAGCTCCTTTTCTTCCTCTTCCCAGACTGCAAAATTCCTAGCAATGCTTTGACACTATCCAATAAGTGCTTAAAAGTCAGTCTTCTATTCATCCCTAAATTGCTCCTTTCTTTTTGCTGGGTAGTGGGGGTAGTGTCGGCATTTGAAATCCCATTTTGACTCTGGGGCTAAGCTATATTCTCTAAAATAGAGCCATTTGCAATATACTGCAATACATTAATTACATTAGCTTCTCCTTAATAAAGGTGTAACTGAAGAACAAAAAGTTGCAATGTTGAGAATTATATAATAATAGAAAATATGTAATAACAAATCGAAATAATTCACAATGATCAAGGAAATATGAGTTCATAGGGAACACCGGATCTTCAGCCAGGAGGAGAGACTCAATGCTCCTTGAGGATAGGGAAATCGACTTCTGCATTTCAGCTGCTAGGATAGTACCAGCACATATTAAGCAGTTAACAGAAGTTTGATGGACAGAGAAATGACGGATGGGTTAAAACCATTGCTCTCCTCATGGGACTCATGATATGCATCTCTAAAATATAAACATGGATAAACCAGACCATGAGTCTAACACAGAAAAGCAACAGTGACCGGATTTTTTACGTATTATGTTACTGCTGCCATAAGTAAATTAACGCATTTGTTTTAGGGAACTATTAATGCAGATTCTTAAAATGGTGACAAATACTACTGCTTTATATGCAATTAAGTAGATTAAAATACGATACATGAATGTTAACAAAGCTAACATCCAATGAGGGAAAGTGAAACACAAATGTACACTGAGGATAACAAAGGCAGCAGTATAGAGTGCTACAGAAATAATTCAGAACATTTTTGAAAGAGTTGTAATTTATTTCTTAAAAGAAAGACAAGTGACAAGGAAACAAACTGATATCAAGGATTTAGTAAAAATTTAGCAATAAACAGTTTTCAGAACATGCCCTGGAATGATATTTCAGCTCAATTTCCAATACTGCCCATATCTATAGCTATAGCAAACACAAAAATATATGCTCATAATATATGATCCTAATCACAATAAAATCACAAAGCACCTAAAAAGTACAGGTTTATGTTCAGTGTGGTATACTCACACATTTAAAAAAAAAGGTTCAAACAATAAAGGTTATGGTAAATGCTTAAATTAACCAATTTTATTATTATATAAGTTATTAATAGTCTACCTTATGAGTATTAAAATATTTTATTAAAATGACCAAATAACTTTATTGTTATGTAATTTATTAAATCCATCTTATGACCATTAAACTACGAATCAAGATACTGGCTGTGAGCTATAAGCTCCACGAAGGCACCCACTGTGTCCTTTTGCCCACTACTGCAACCCCAGGACCAGAACTCAACTCAGCGTGAGGCAAGTGGTAAGCATTCAAAAGAGATTCAAGTCACTTATAAAGGCCTGAGATACATTATCACTCTAGACTGGGGATCAGCAAAGTTTTTCTGTAAGGGGCCACATATTGATTCTTTTAGGCTTTGTAAGCCCTAGGGCCTCTGGTCCAACTACTCAATTCTGCCTTTGCAGCATGAAAGCATCTACAGACAATAAATAAATGAATGGGAATGGCTGTGTTCCAATAAAACTGAAATTTGAATTTCATATAATTTTCATGTGTTATGAAATCTTATTCTTCTTTTGATTTTTTTTCCTATCATTTAAAAATGTAAAGAACATTCTTAGCTTGCCAGCTGTACAAAAACAGACAGCGGGCCAGATCTGG